AATTAGGGTACTTATAACCTTATTTACTAAGTCCCATGGTCCTCCAACTAGGGTTTAGGGTTCCCTTTAAGGGTGTCTTTGAAACGGTTCTATAAGGCTTACTATCAGGACATAGTATAGGGCCTTATTAAATAGAGTAGGTTTGGGGTGTAACTATTATGCTACATAGGATGACAATAAGGAATCCCAAAATGGCACTGGTGATTCTTCCGGCCCCCATATTAAGTTTAGGCATTTGAAGGAGTTAGTGTCAGTGTGTCCTTACTACTATGAGCTAAGGGGGAGCATCCAAGCGGCATGACATGGGAAGTGCAACCGATTGTTGCAAATTCGGGGCACTGCAAGTTGTTTTCACAGTTTAGGGTTGAGGGCATCGGGTGGTATTAGAGAGCCTTGAGAGTTTTTGTCGTGAAACCCTAAACCCTGAACCCCTAAACCCTAAACCCTAGTACTCATTGAGCAGGTGTTAGCAGGTCACACAGGCCAGGTGTGTCATTGTTCAACTCAGCCCGAAACCCCGAAGACACGTGCACTTGGCGCAGACTACTTCTGCAAAGTTCCCTAGCTGGGCCTTCGCCTCAAGTGCACCGGGAAATATAAGTTTCAGCAGCAAAAGTCGTCGCAATTTGATGAGGAAACGGTATCTCAGCAAACCCGACCATCCACACCTCCGAACAAACATGTCGCCATGCATTCCTACAAACGTCATACCCCGCAGAGACAATAATGCGCCTACAGCCCTAGGTGCCCTGAACTCTAAACTCACAAAACAGTACACAAACCCTAAACCCTAAACCCTAAAACACTGGTCCTTGTGTCCGTCCATGGGCGAAATCCGATTCTGACCCCGCTCATCGGTCATGGGCCCATAACCCTCCTGGAAGAATAGGGGTTTATGGTTTAGGGTTTAGGGTTTGGGGATTGTGGCGCCTTGTCTTAAGCAAGGCTTTCATGAGTACGGATGATTATTGATGGAATTCTATCGGTCTTTGCTGAATATTCTGTTGGCATCTGAAGGCTCCACGCAAGGATTGAGGATTCAGCACGGTCCTAAACCCTAAGCCCCTAAACCATAAACCTTAAACCCCTAAACCCCTAAACCCTAAACCCTAAACCCCTAAACCCCTAAACCCTGAACCCTGAAACCTATAGGCCCTAAAACCGAGGATTCAGCTTAGCATTTGGGGTGTAGTGCCTGGATTGGCCACGCTGTTTTCAGGAGTGGAGGGGGAGCCTGGCTCAACATGTGAGCGGTTTAAGCGAAGGTGCCTCAAGTTGTGACGAAGATCGGGGGGTTTCCGAAAATAGCACCCTAACTAGTAGGATCCTTATGATAAGGACACCTAAATAAGGTACCCCCTTATTTTCGGAAGCTCGCATATGGTGATAATCACAAAGTCTCACAAAGTATTAGCTATTCAGGCCCTCGTGTCTTTTGCAGTTTTTCGGCTTGGGGATTCAACTGCTGTTGGTGAAAACTTGAAGTACACCGTCCAATTCAACCATGTGTTTCAACATCAAGATACTCCGCGTCTCTATTCTCTCCTTTACTTTTCCTGTGCTACGACCATGATGCTGGTGGTTACGATGGAGGCGATGACCGTGATGATAGTGATGAAAAAAAGCACACCCTGATAACCTTTTGGTCCAAGCACTGGTGTGGCGATTGTTGGTCTTGGTACATCCATCCGACCATTCTGGTCGTCCCTGGATCCAAAACCCCTAAAACCTATCTATACCCCGGGCATTCAAAAGTTGTACCCTGAACCCTAAACCCAAAGCCCTGAACCCTAAACCCCTTTCAGACCTCCTTCGCAGCAGGCGCATTCATGCTACTCCTGAGATTCTCAGAAGGCTCAGGCTAAGTAAGGCCTTTGGGTTTGAGTCGTTTGGGTTTGAGGCCTTTGGTTTACTATATAGGAGCCCAAATAATTACCAATATATACTATGTTGGCGGCTCTTCATTATAACTATGCAAAACCCTATTCTTATTATAAAGGCCCCTAGTTTACGGTTGTCAAATTCAGGCCATCAAATTGTATGGTGGTCGCAGGGTTGGGACTCTGGGCTTTGGGCTGTTTTGGGGAGAAGAAATGCAACGGTCACGGCCTGAAGGCAACATCAGTTGTTTAGGGTTTAGGGTTTAGGGGTCTAGGGTTTAGGGTTTAGGGTTTAGGGGTCTAGGGTTTAGGGTTTAGGGGTCTAGGGTTTAGGGTAAGATGATCCGGGCATATGGAATGACTGGCATAGGGCTTGGGGGTACATTTTTGGTGTTGCTGTATGGGTGCTAGGAGAGGATAGTCGCAGTAAGCAAATTCAGACCTCTACAGTAACCCAGCAACATTCCACATCCATTCCTAAGCCCAGCCACGAGTGGAACATTCGAAAAAAAGAACTGAACGACATCGACCTCACACCCCAAGACTGACTCACTCACGCATGCACCTTTAACAGTTGCAAGTCAAGCAGCACATTGATGGCCTTAAGTTGCATGGAGTCGTCCTTCCAGTGTTGATCGTACTTTGGTTTTACGTCGGAAAGATCGGATTCGACACTCATAAACTGCAATCAACGGTTCAAGCTGGCTACGGTGCGGTTTCACGATGCTGCTGCTGCTGCTGCTTGCCGACGTGTCCGGGGCCAAGGCCCTACTGAAGCCACAAAAAACCTTTCAGGATTTGCAGCTCTGAAACTGTAGGCTTTTTCACAGTCTGTGACTCTACCATATCCATATCCATATATATATATA